GGGTCCCGCAGAAGAATGAGGCTTGGGCCAGGGCCCAGGTGCCGGGAATGGGACGCCGGGAGGGACTGGACTAGAACTGAGAGGGGCGCACTGCTGAGAACAACGGCGTGGGGGCTAGGGGGTGTGAGTTTGGGTGGTGTCCACAACTGTATCCCCAGGGATCAGAGCAGCCTGGTGCGAAGGAGGCGCTTAACACGCAGTTGTTGAATGGATGGACAGAGCGTGGTACCCAGCTGTAAAAATGAAGGCGTGAGGAAGCTGGGATGACTTTTAGGCTCAGTCCCCTTGCGCTTTTCCTTCTGGGGTCTCCACCGCATACTCGGGCAACCAGCAGGGAAACCAACACAGCTTCTCTGAGCAGTTGTCCAGACAGATTTCCTCAGGACCGGCAGACTCTTGGGTATCTACCAGCTCAACCCTTGGTTTTTAGATATCAGGACTAGACGCCAGGATGAGGTTGCAAGTGAAAGGCACTAGGTCCCCCCACCCCCACCCCCTCCAGTATGGCCAGGGCCCAGGTGCCGGGAATGGGACGCCAGGAGGGACTGGACTAGAACTGAGAGGGTCGCACTGCTGGGGGCTAGGGGGCGTGAGTTTGGGTGGTGTCCACAACTGCGCCAGGGCCCAGGTGCCGGGAATGGGACGCCAGGAGGGACTGGACTAGAACTGAGAGGGTCGCACTGCTGGGGGCTAGGGGGCGTGAGTTTGGGTGGTGTCCACAACTGCATCCCCAGGGATCAGAGCAGCCTGGTGCGAAGGAGGCGCTTAACACGCAGTTGTTGAATGGATGGACAGAGCGTGGTACCCAGCTGTAAAAATGAAGGCGTGAGGAAGCTGAGGATGACTTTTAGGCTCAGTCCCCTTGCGCTTTTCCTTCTGGAGTCTCCACCGCATACTCGGGCAACCAGCAGGGAAACCAACACAGCTTCTCTGAGCAGTTGTCCAGACAGATTTCCTCAGGACCGACAGACTCTTGGGTATCTACCAGCCCAACCCTTGGTTTTTAGATATCGGGACTAAACGCCAGGATGAGGTCGCAAGTGAAAGGCACTAGGTCCCCCCCACCCCTCCCAACCCCCCCAGTACTTGACAGATCCCATCGTGCCGGAGAGCAGTGCGGTTAGGGAAAGGAATTAGCTAACAGTAATTGAGCATGTTTGTTTGTTTTGCCATTGTGTGTGTGCACTCGCTGGAGAGAGACAGGGAGAGGTAGAGAGGGAGGGAAAGTGAGAAATCATCCTGGAGGTGGGGAGTGGCCATGCTGCAATCCCTTCTCGGGATTTTGAGCATGCGTGCACATGTGCCCACCGTGTCTTTCAAGCCACCAGGTCTGGGACTCAAGCGGTGGAGTTGGTTATGTGGGGTCGCACCTTAACCACTATACCACCTGCTGGCCTGCATTCCAGATATTTCTCTAGACGTCTAGGCAAAGTAGAACTAGCATGTTGTGTTCAGTCTTCTGAGCAATACTTAGGAGCAGATATCCTGTTTTATGGATGACTAAACTGACACAGAGGAGCAAGTAACTGGGGCCAGCAAGCGGCGTGGTAGTGAAGGCGTTGGATTCCCACCTGGCCAACCAGGTTCAAGTTCTGCATCTAGGGGCTTGAAACTCACACTGGGCTTGCGTGTATGGATACGTGCCCAGAATCCCAGGAGGAGAATGGAGTGATTGCCACTGGCCATCCCCCTGAGGGCTGATATCTCACTTTCCCTCTGTCTCTCTGTCTCTCCAGCTAATGCATGTGCTCTTGGCAAAAACCTTAAAAAAAAAAAAGAAAAGTAACAAGTTTGTAACAATAAATAATTATTTAAAAAGTAGAAGGAGGAGGTACCCAAGATTCACTCATCAATTGAGAGACATAGAGACAGAAAGCGAGAAATCACCCCCCGAGGGGGATGGTCACGCTGCAATCCCTTCTCCTCCATTCTCCTCTCGGGATCTTGGGCATGCACGCACACGTGCCCGGCGTGAGTTGAAGCCACCGGGTCCGGGACATGAACCGTGGTCAACTACGTGGGAGTACAACGACATAGCCATTACACTAACTGCTGGTCCCAATAGCAAGTGTCTTGAAGTCAGACAGACCTGGGTTTGAGTTAGAGGCAGAGGTGGTTAAAGGATTTGTAGGGGGCAGCAGGTAGTGGCTAAGGCTCTGGGTCCCACGTGGCCAACTGCAGTTTGATTCCTGGGCCTGGTGGCTTGAAAATCACGGTGGTTGTGCTGTGCACATGTGCCCAAAATCCCAAGAGGAGAATGAGGGAGAGGGAATTAGGGTTTGGTCATATGCCTTGGGGGCAATTTCTCATTTTTCCTCTGTCTCTGGCAAGCACATGCACCCTATATCAAAAATCTAAAAAAAAAAATAATAATTTGTAGGAAGAAGGGGTTGCAATCAGTTAAAGGGAAACAGAGGACTTATCCTGAAAGTATATTTCACAGCAAGCACACTAATATGTTTTAGAATATTTTATTTATTATTAGTAGTATTTTTTTGGAGAGGTTTTTGCTATAGGGCATGTGCACTCACCAGAAAGACAGAGAGAGACAGAGAGACAGAAAGTGAGAAATCACCCCCCAGGGGGGATGGCCACACCGCAATCCCCTCTTCTCCATGCTCCTCTTGGAATCTTGGGCACGCATACGCGCCTGGCATGAGTTTAAGCCACTGGGTCTGGGACTCGAACCACGGTTGACTATATGGGAATCCAGTGACATAGCCATTGTGCCAACTGCTGGTCCCTATTTATTATTATTTTTTAAAAATCTTGGTGATAGCACATGTGAGCTCAGCTGAGAGAGACAGAAAGTGAGAAAGCAAGCCTCCAGGTCTGGGATTCAAACTGTGGTTGACCATGCAGAAGTCCAGTGGATTAACCACCACACCACTGCATGGCCCAAGCAAACATAGTGTTTTTGTTTAGAGTTTCTTTGGAGGGGCTTGTAACTCGCTGTGGAGGTTATGGGTAAAGTCCCCAGTCTTTAGTGCTGGCATCCATCTGTGACTTTAGACTTAACTCTTTCTGGTAGAGAACGTAAACTCAGTTGCCTGATACATACATGTAAGATAACAGCTCTCTGCTCATAAAGTTTGTTGTGAGAAGTAAGGAGACCTTGGCACAAGGTAGCACATGAGGTTACTTTGGCCACCACGAGACCCGAGGAGTGGCGGGGGTCTGTGCCGTGACACGGCACTTTCGTGTTCACATTTCTTGTTGCTTTTGAACTTCAGACCCACCCGTGCGCCCGGGAAACAGGCTTGGAGACTCTCCAGAGATGATCGTTCAGAGGCGGAGCCGGCTCTTAAGTCCATGACTCAGACTGCCCTACTTGTTTCCGTCACAGGTTTTGACCCTGCGAACCCGGACCCTGAATTCCTGTGGCTGTCTCGATACAAGTGCGCGGAGCCAAAGCTGGAGTCTCCCACGCCCGGCGGGTGGAACTCGGCCCCAGGTACCAGGCCCGTGTGCGCGACAATTGGTGGAGGCAGCTATCCGTCTCGGAAGCGGGTGTGGGGATTGGAGGAGGTACGGCTTTGGGGGAGCGGGCTCTGTTCTGCTTGGGGGCGGGGCTATCGCGGGGGAGGGGGGGCGGGATGAAGAGCTTGAGGAAGCCGGCAGAGAAATGTCCGCCACTGGCTTTCGGGAGCGCGTCTCTGCAGGTCTGGCGGGCGGTGGGAAACTGGGTTGGGCATCTGGGGGGGCGGGCGGTAGCGGGTTCAGCCACAGTTTGAATCCCAGACCTGGAGGCTTGCTTTCTCACTTTTTGTCTCTCTCAGCGGATGGCCGGGGTCTGTGATCTGGCCAGTGGACGCACGGGACGAAGACCCAGGTCCTGGCCCTGGGGAGGCGGGGACGCTGGGGCTGAAGTTTCGTGGGATGTTAATTTCCTCTCTGCCGGGCGCTGGGAATGGGGTACTCGGAAGCTGGGGTTTTAGTAAAGCTCCGTCTTGGCTCGCTTTGTGACCTCGGGCCACTCGCTGTCCCTCCTGGCCTCAATTTCTCCAGTTGAGCTTGCTCTTCAGCCCGGCCCTTCCAAATCTAGCGTGTACGTGTGTGATGTGTGGGTGGGTGTATTCCCCGTGACAGCCTGGTTTGGGTGGTGTGTGTTGGGACTCTCTCGCTGTCCTCAGCTCCTGTGATAGACTGAGCTGTCCGCAGAGCTGGGGTGCAGACGAGCCCTGCCCACCCTGGGCCTGCAGGTCAGGTTGCAGGTGAAAGAAACTGAGTTTTTTTCCACCCAGCCCTTGGCGGATAATATGCAACACAAAAGGCCAATTGTTGAGCAGGAGAGATTGTGCTCTGAACCAGAGGCTTGGGGCTGAGATTTGGGTCAATCCGGTGCTTTGGGAGGACCTGCAGACCTGCCTTTTTGTCCAGTTCCTTCATGTCCCGCCTCCCCCGCATGCCTGTGGAGCTCCAGTTGCGTGCAAGCTTTGGCATAAACACTCTACTCATTTGTCCCTCTTTTCTCGGTCATTTGCTGGGGATGAAGAGTCTCAAGTGGCTGTGTGAAGTGGGGACAGGCACTGCACTTGCTCTTACAAGGCTTGGAAACTATGAGAGGCGGGAGGAGTGGCTTGTTGCACAAGAGTTTGTAAAATGAGAGGAAACTAGGCAAGCCGAGGACTTCCTCAGTGCTTATGCTTTTCCTCTTGATGGTGCTGATAGTTTGCATCTAGGGCTTATCTCAGAGTTCCGTTGCAGAACCCATCTCCACGGCTATTGCTTCAGTTTCCATGACATTTAAGGTGGTGATGCTGGGACCGGCAGGAATGTAACATTATGACCATTTCTTCTTGTCCCTTTGCAAGAGGTTGCCAGAATCTAGACAGTTGGCAGAGCACCGGCCTCATGACAGCAGAAAGAGGTGGGTTCTGTCTTCTCGGCCAGCAGGCCAGAGCGAGGCTGTTGGAGCACTTCATTCCCTTTGTAGAGGGCCGCCTCTCAGAAGTCAGGCCAGCCAGCTCTGATGCCAGTTATCTGTTCTCCCTGAATGAGAAATGTGCAGGATCTCGGACTCTTGCTTTGTTTCAAGAAACAAAAATAGCCACCTGCTGGAGAGGAATAACTGCCAAAACTTTGGTTTTATTTCTAGTTTAAAAGAATTTGCGGGGACCAGGAGGTGGCGTGATGGTTAAGGTGCTGGAAACTCCCACATGGCCGACCATGGTTCGAATCCCGGACCTGGTAGCGTGCTTTCCCACTTTCTTGTCTCTCTCTCTCTGATCAAATTAAAATAAATGAATGAGTAAAATTAAATAAAAACAAAACAAAACAATTCTTTAAAAAAAAAGAATTTACGATACCTGTGCAGTAAATGGGTTCACACTATTAATTGCTAAATTGTTCCTGTTAAAATTGGTAAGATATGGCAGCAAGCCCCCACTTCTCTTTGGATCATCTCTGTCTTCAGAGCTGCTCTGTCCTCAGAGGGGAGGGAGTTCATGTCTTGTGCAGCAGGTAGCACCTCCGGGTGCTTCCGCTGATCCAGGCCCCGAGGAAAACAGGTAGTGGATTTGGTTCTTCCTTTATGCATATGATCAAAATACCCACTTCCCAATAGTGTGGGGAAGCAACCCAGCAAAAGCCTGCTTTGAAATGCTGTTCCTGATGCGCTGCAGGAGAACCAAGGAACCCCTTGCCCCAGGAGCTCATAGTCTGACAGAGGGATCTGATAGTCTAAAAATGGAGGTATAAATCAGGCCAGCAAGATGTTGGTCCTTACAGGGTGAACCAAAAGCAAGAGTATCTTGAAGGCTTAGGTTTTTTCTTTTCTTCTTTTTAGATTTTTGCCATAAGGCACGTGTGCTCAGACAGAGAGAGAGAGAGGGAAAGTGAGAAATCACCCTCCAGGGAGGATGGCCATGTTACAATCCCCTCTCCATTCTTCTCTTGGGATCTTGGGCCTGCATGCACACGTACCCAATGTGTGTTTCAAGCCTCCAGGTCTGGGACTTGAACCATGAGTCAGTTGTGTGAGATCCAGTGCCTTAACCACCACGCCACCTGCTGTCCCAATAAAGGGCTAGGTATTTGGGGAGTAAGGTGAATCCCCACGTCACTCTTCACCTATGCTGTGGCAGAGAAAGGAACAATCTCACTTTGTTCTCTCTACAATGTCTATTTCTGTCTTTGATTTGTCTCTGCCGAATTCAGGAGTGTTAGGACGAGGTTGGTAGGGATTAGGGTAGAAAGATGAAATGAAGCTAGTTTCAGATGAGAATCCATGTTTTCAGGTTCAGGCCAGGGTCTAGAAGCTGAGTTGTGACGTAGAAGTGAGATGACGCTTCTCATTAAGTGGCAGCCTGGCCACCTGATTTTCTTGGCCTCTTTCACTGCTGAGACCTTGCCGTGGCCTTAGACCGGTAGCTGTTCTGCTTCTTCATGTATGTATGCTGGTGTCACCTGCTAAGTCCCAGCTGGTGCGGTGGTTAGGGCACTGGACTCCTACATGGTCAGTCGCTATTCAAGTTCTGGACCTTGCAGCTTGAAAATCATGCTGGACATGTGTGAACGTGTGCCCAAAATCCTGAGAGGAAAACAGGAGAAGGGGTTGCGGGGGTCATTCTTCTGGGAGGTGATTTCTCACTTTCCTTCTCTCTCTGTCTCTGTTTCCGTCTGGTGAGTGCTCTATGGCAAAAACCTAAAAAAGAAAAGAGAAAAAGGGAGTGGGTCTGGGGTGGCTCTGTAGTCTAGTCGTTAAGGGAGCCACATCCCACAAGGCTGACCACAATTTGAATTCTGGCTCAGTGGCTTGAAAAGCATGCTGGGTACATGTGCATACATACACCTAAGATCCCAATGGATTGGAGAAATAGAGAAAAAATTGCAACATGACCACACCCCACTGAGGGTGCTTTCTCTTTCTTTTTTTTGGGAGAGATTTTCACTATACGGCACATGCGCTTGCCAGACAGACAGAGAGAGACATAGAGACAGAAAGTGAGAAATCACCCCCCAGGGGGGATGGTCACGCCACAATCCCTTCTCCTCCATTCTCCTCTCGGGATCTTGGGCACGCACACACACGTGCCCGGCGTGAGTTTTAAGTCACTGGGTCCAGGATGCAAACCGCGGTCGACTACATGGGAGTCCAGCGACATAGCCATTACGCTAACTGCTGGTTCCCTGCTTTCTCTTTCTTTCCCTCTGTTTCCCTTTTGCAAGTGCACAAGTCATCTGCCAATTAAAAAGAAAAAAATGAAGATGATATGAGAGAAAGAAATGACTTATTTCTGTCTACCCACTGAAGACTCTCGCATCCGGAAAACTCCCCTGGGATCTCGTGCAGGGCCCAGTCCTCATCCAAGTCATTGCACAGCAGTCACCTGCTTTGCATCCTGGGTCCATGCACAGGCTTGGAGCTGTGTTCTGGAAGATTCTGGGCTGTACGCTGGAAAGGAAACAGCTACTCAGAAGTCCCACAGGGTGTATTCTAACCTAATTTAACAAAGTGGTAATAGCAAACAAATTTTGGCCTTTTGAAGTGGTTTTTTTAATTCCATTGTCGATTCAAAGTGAGCCAATTTTGTAGGGACTCAATTTAGAATAAAACAGTATTGTGTTTTCCCCCCTGGACCCAGGAAACAAAGCATTAAAATCTGTCTAGCCTGTGAAAGGAAATGAATGCTATTTATATCTCAGGGTAACATAAAGGTTAACCTAGATTACCAGGGTAGAAGTCAGAGAGAATGTTAGAAAAATAGCCCCCAGGTTGACTGTTTGGTTGGTTCTGTCTGTCTCTCTCTTGCTTTGTCAGTAGTAATGAGTAAAGTCAGCAGGGCCAACATACCTTTTAGCCTGGAGAAAAGGAACTTGTTTTTGTTTACCCCAGAGGTAGAAATATCACCTGTCACTTCCAGCTTTGTGGGAAGCTCTGCAAGCTCTTACATTCATTTCTTCTAGGTCACTTTGTTTCTTTAAACAAAAGAGAACTGCATTCCTTTTTTCTTCCTCCTTTTATTTTTTCCCATCTCCATTTTCCTTTGTCTTATTTAACTTCATGTTTGTTTTTAGTACAGGAGAAATCCCTAAAGCCTTTTTTTTTATTCTGAAACCAGTTTGTTTTGGAATTCTGCAGTGGTTTTCAGGGCAAGAGAGGTGACCCACAAACATTCACTTAGAAATGGAGCTTTGCACAGAAACCCCCTCGGGGAGGCACACTTCAGGAAGAGGGAGGCATCAATATTTATTAGGGGAAAACAGTGTTGATCATATAAGCTGGCTGGCTTTCATCTTTCCCTTCCCTGCTTAAAATAGACTAACAGTATCATGGAGGTGACAATGATCCACATCTGAGCTAAAACTAGGAAATATGAATGAGAAGAGACTTTTTTGGGTTGTTGAGGATTTAAACGAAGTGTGTATCTAAGGGGCCTAGGTATTTTTCTTTTTCCTTTTTTTTTTTGGAGAGCTTTTTGCTATAGGGAACATGTGTTTGCTGGCGAGACAGAGAGAAAGAGAAAGTGAGAAATCACCCCGGGGGATGGCCACGCTGTAGTCCCTTCTCCTCCATTCTCTTCTTGGGATCTTGGGCACGCGCACACACACACGCCCAACCTGAGTTTCAAGCCTGTGGGTGTGGAACTAGAACCCGGTCAACCACGTGGGAGTTCATTGGCATAACCATAAGCCATCTGCTGGTCCCTCTTTTTCCTTT